AACAGTTTTTAAAAATACTACCTACTAAGACTTATTTTAGTATTATTTCTAATTCTTTTTTTTTTATTCGAAACGTGGGCAATTTTTTGCTAATAAATTATCAAATAAAAATAATAAAGACATTTTATACAAAAATTAGTTGTGACACTGTTTAAATCAAACAAAAATTCAAGGTGTTTGATATTTCTATTAATTATTATTGTTGAAATATAGATACAATAAATTCAAAAAAAACACCCTGTATATTATAATAAAGCAATGAGGTAAGTTAAAAAATAAAGTAAATCCGGGAGAGATGTATCATTGGGAGAAATGAGTTTTGAAAGTTGGAAACCTTTCAAAAGTTAAGGTGATCAACTTTAGAAAATTTAAATTCAAAATCAGGACATTAATAAAAATAATTATAATAATTTTATTCCAAAATTTAGTAAGTCTTACCAATGTAACAGTATAAAAATTTAAATATAATAATAATATAGAGTTCAAAATATTGACATAAAAACTATTTTTTGACCCTAATCTAATCTAATTAACATATTAATTTTTTGTTTTATGTTAATTCAAATTTATTTGTATTAATTGCAAGAAGTTAGAAGTAATTTTCAGTTGAGTTATTTCAGGAAACCACATTCAAAATGACGATATTTAATTAACATACAAAAAATAGTATATTACGTTATGAGGAGTAAAAGTAATTCAACTTAGTAACATAACATTTACTCCGAATAACATACAAAGTATTTTATACGCAAACTTGTTTAGATCAAGAGTAAAGAGCAACATTATAATAAACAAGTAAATGAACAAAATAATCAGGATACTTTGCAAGTAATAAAATCATAATATAAACAAGCAATTTGCGCCAATATCGGAATTAAAATTTTTGAAAGTTTTAACTAGTGCAGTTAGTAGTGCAAAATATTGAATGGTGATATTTACAATTGCTGAAACAATAAAACAACAACATTGGTAAATGTCAATTTTTACTCCATGGGGTAAAACATTTACTTGATTTCAGTCATAAAAGTGATCACTTTTGTGACCTTTGCGGATGAAATATGTTTTTATTGAAAAAAATGTAGTATACCTAAATAAATCAGAAACTAAACTTTGTATTAAAAGTAAAGCATTTATCTAAGCCACATAAAGTCACTTTTACTCGGAATAACATGTACTATTTTATCCGCAATCTTATTCAGATCAAGAGTAAAGAGCAACACTATAATTATCAAGTAAATGAACAAAATAATCAGAACGCTTTGCAAGTAATAAAATCATAACAACGCTCTCTATTTCAAAGTTTGTAAAAAATAATGTTTAGGTCACTTCGAGTAGCTTCAGATCGGTTCAGGTCACCTTAGGCCACTTTGGGTTACTTCGAATTACTTTAGCTTGGAGTAAAAAAAAGTGTTAAATGTACTAACTTTTTCATTTTCAAAAGAAGAAAAATTCTTAGGGAAATGTTTAAATTTAGTAGTAAAAATGCCAATCGAGACGTTTCAAAACATCGTGCTACAAAAGACAGTTGGGGAGACTAAGAAAATGTCAAATGTACTGGATTAAAAAAATTCTTAAAGAAATGCTTAAACTAAAAAAATATCAATCGAGACTTTATAATAAAGATGAAAAACTCTGATTTCGCTCTAATTTCTTTGGCTTTAACAAAAAAAAGAGAATTTTACTCAAACTTGTGACATTTAGTCATAAAAGTGGTCACTTTTGTCACGTTTGTGAATAAACTAATAAATAGAAATGTCAAAAACGGCACATTTAGATCTGTTTGTTCTTACATAGGGGCTTGAATGTAAAATAAGACAAAACAATGAAAACCTAAACTGTCTTGAATAAATCACGACGG